ACAACGTTAATTTTAATTTCGAAGTCAAAATAACGAAAATATGTACAGCTTGCTCGCTGAAATAGAATTGTAATAAGATGAATCTAATTTCGAATAAGGATTATTTCAATTATCATTATTTAATTTAATTTTAAATCAGATCTTTTTAAACACGCTTACTTTTACACTTTTCTGCAATGAGAATAAAAATGTTTCCGACGGAAAAAGGAAGGAAAAAAATAAGTTCCAACGTAATACAGTTGAAGAGAACAGAATAAAAGGAAGAAAAAATTCTTGAAACTTTTATTTTTCATGCAATTCTTACATATCTCTGTGAACAAATTCTCAAAATTATCTAGCGAAGTAGAAGCATTTGCAATTCCGTTATTGACCGTCATGCTAGATGCGCGAGGGGCGCGCATTAAATCTCGAGAGTGCTGAAATCAAAGTTCTGGAATGCCTCCAGGAAACTATCTCGATTTTCGGGTTGGCCGATGGGTAGACAAGAAACCATGTTCATTGAACGTCGTGCCAGGGGAAGCGATGCCGAAACGTTCGCGGGCGCCGCGATGTCGTAGCGTCGCAGCGTCGGGGACGCATCGGACGACGTGGCAGTATCCCCGATATCTGAAACGCATTCGTTACGAGATCCAGGCGATGTGCAACGTTAGCACACTTTCGGAGAAATCGGCGTCGAATGCTTGCGTGTGCGAGCCGCGGACAGCGACGACCTTCCCCGAGATGCGATGCTCGTATCAACGAGGCATCGATCGCGAGCGTGTGCGCACTATCGCATATGTACTATTTGCACACGCTATAAATGCATATGCATGCACTTCGCAAGTAACTTCGTTGAGCCACGTGAGCCTTTTCTTAGTAAAACGTTTTATATTTCCTTCGCTTTTTTGTTCTCCTTTTTTTCCTACAGTTTTCCTTCTTTTCTCTTCACGAAGCTACGCTCGAAGCTAACTCTCGAAGAAATGTGCGTATTTGCGTACTTCTTATTGTCCTTCTTGAAAATGGTAATTTTATTTTATCCGCGTAACGCAGAATTTAAAGCGAGAACTAGGTGAGGAATAATATTAGGAAAAAAAAGATTTTATCGACTTGTTTCTCTTTCGTGTTTTCCTTGTATTATGACGTTTAACTGCAAAGCAAGGAATTTTTCGTGTAACCGTGTCACGCACTTTGCTCAACTAAAATCTGCGAAAAATACCGATATTCGTTATTGGAGAAAAAAAAACGATGTCTCATTTTTCTCTGCAAATAGAAAGAAAGATTTCTCTCGTTATCAAATAAATTATGTGTTATCATTTTTTATATATAATAATATACATATAATAATATAGCATATTGTTCTAAATCACTTGGCGAGTTATTGTATCTAGGACAAGTATTTTATGTACGTATCTTCTATCTATTTATATATCTCTCCATCGCAATGTCTCAATTTCTTCTTCAAGCCGGTAAGGGAGCTCTTCACGCCTCTACGATACACCTTCCTTCTTTCTCTCCTAACTTTGGCTTTGCCATGGAAAGAAGGGCAACGCGGTTGTCTTTCACTAGGTCAGCCGAGAATTTGGAGGAATGAGGCGAGCGGAAAAGAGACGAGCGAGGAGTGTCGAAAGGCGGTTATTTGACGACTAAATTGTCCTGTTTGATGTTGGTAGCTGATGTGGCTCGAAGCGTCCTCAAAGAACTCTGCGAGGAGGAATATGGCTGG